ATATGCAGTGTATTACTTGTTGAAACTGTACTTCCGATTTGATTTGAAACTGTCTCATTGCTATCTGTTTATCAATAAAACTTTGAAAAGAAAAAAAAAAAAAGAAACTGTCTTACCAATCAATTTTGAAACTGTCTCATTGCTATTTGTTTCTCCATAAAATTATTTTTAAAATAAATAGATAAATATTTGCAAGAACATATAGGACCAGATGTAGCTGAGAGTTCACAACATCCTGGCAAGTGCAAGATTCTAAGTTCAATTCCCAGTACCAAAAAAAAGAGGAATACGTATTGGTGATTCTTACTGTTGTTTCCAACAGGTTCAATTCCCATGAAAGTGCAGCACATGCAATTGTTTCTGTTAATGGTACTACTATTGAAGGTCATGTTGTGAAGTGCTATTGGGGCAAAGAAACTCTTGATATGATAAATCCTGTGCAACAGGTGAGTGAGTCCTTGGGTAAATAATTTCTGTGCCAATCATATTTATTTTAAAAATGAAGATTATTGATATATTTTTTAATAAGTTTCTAGCTCAATTCATAGTATATAAGGGCTCTTCCTACGTGTGTTATAGTTCCAGAGTGGTGTTTCATGGATGGCAGTGGTGACATGATGAGTATAACCGTCTCATTTTCCTCATGCTTACACAGTGGATTTTAAAATCCTCCGACAAACCTAACAGGGTATTAAATCTTTTTTAAATACTTCATAGATGTATCTGCATACTACTTAGAGAACTCACAAGCATGTTTGACTCCATTGACTAAAAAAATAATGAGTATATTTAGAACTTGGCATAGTATTCTAGATTTTGCAGCCTTCCTTTTGCTTTCCCAGACTGCTATAATGGTCAGGGTTGGTCTCAAAGATTTCTGTGAGGAAGTGGTGAATGGAGCATAGAAGTGAGAGTAAAATGGCTAACCTGTATAGATTTTTTAAATCAAATACAAGAGTAAGTTATCTTTGTACCTTCCTAATCTAAAGGCAACAATCCTGTGGATAAATTACCATACAAAACACTTAAACATTATACCAAATTCAATATTTATTACAGGAGCATTACCTGCTGTCTTCAAAGGATTGCCATGTAGAGCACCTTTAGAGTTACAGCAATATAGCCTCATGATCCTGTCATTTTAAGTGGGATACACTTAATGTTTCAGCTGTGTTTGGTATATCAGGGCTCTGTAAGTACAAATAACTTTAAATAGTACTAAAGTATGTGTTGTAAATTTTTTCTAATAGCAGAATCAAATTGGATATCCACAACCTTATGGCCAATGGGGCCAGTGGTATGGAAATGCACAACAGATTGGCCAGTATATGCCTAATGGTTGGCAGGTACCTGCATATGGAATGTATGGGCAAGCGTGGAACCAGCAGGGATTTAAGTAAGCACTTATTCTATTAAGCTATCTCCCCAACCCCTATATTAATCTTTGGAAATACCAAAAAAAAATAACTTTTAAGTACTCAGTTGTGACCCACTATGTGCAGTAAAATATAACTGTAACCTACAAAGGACTTAGAGTAGTTTTTAACTTACAGTTTTAAATATTTCTCTCTCTCTCTTTTTTTTTTTTTTTTTTTTTCCAGTACTGGGGATCGAACTTGGAATCTTGCACTTGCTGGGCAGGCACTTAATGCTGCTGAGCTATCTACCTAGCCCTTTATTTTTTATTTTTTACTATTTCTCTTTAAAAATTTGCTTGGAAGCCAGGCATGGTAGTACACACCTTTAATCCTAGCATCTGGGAGGCTGAGGCAGGAGGATTGCTACAAGTTTGAGACTGGCTTGGACTACAATAGTGAGACACTGTCTAAAAAAAAAAATTTGTTTTTTGTCCCAGAAATATTTTGCTTTAAAGTATAATTAGGGTCATATAATAATGTTTGGTAATAAATGGAATAATTTTTTGTAAGAAATAAGTGCTTAGTGGGACCGGGGAGATGGCTCAGTGGAATAAGCACTTACCTGGCAAGCGCAAGGGCCTGAGTTCAATCCCCAGTTCCGCCAAAAAAAAAAAAAAGAAAAAGAAAAAAGAAATAAGTGCTTAATAGTTGTTAAGGTTTGGGTTAGGGAGATAGCTTAGCAGCATAAGTGCCTGCCTGGCAAGCACAAGATCCTGAGTTTGATCACCAGTATCAAAAATAATAATAATAATAATAAAATTGTTATTAAGCCTTACTTTCACATGGCTGATGGTTCCTTTAGCTATTCTTGGGTATGCACTCTTTCATCCAAGGGAAGAGCACTTGTTAGCATTTAATGAATCTCACCACATGTGGCTTTTGGCCACTAGCACATAGACAGACAGGTACACACACAGCTTCCTCCTGGATGGCAGGCTTCTTTATGCACCCTGAATTATACCATTTTACTTACATTTCTGAAAAACAGGCTGGAAATAAAAAAAACTTTGTAGGTAAAAAATTATCTTGTAGCTGGGCATGGTGGCACATGCTTGAATGCCAGCACTTGGGAGGCTGAAGCAGGAGGATTGCTGTGAGTTTGAGGTCAGCCTGGGCTACATACACAGTGAGTTCAAAGCTAGCCTAAACTAGATAGCAAAAGTGTCTCAACCAAGGGGGGGGGGGGGTGGCTGGGGAGATGGCTCAGTGGAATAAGTGCTTCCCTGGCAAGCATAAGGGCCTGAGTTCAATCCCCAATTCCGCCAAAAAAAAATCACCTTGTGATGGTAAAATTTGTGAGTTTACATATACTAATGATTACTAATTTCTTTGAGTGACATAAGTGCTAATTTTACTGTGCAAAGTGATGGTGTTCCTTTCACATAGTAGCTTGTCCATCATATGTCCACTCCAGATGGAGAGGGACAGTTTACCTCTGTGAAAAGAGAGATGGGTTTTCCTGAGTCCAGAGGGCAGGCATATAATAAGGGTATTTTCTTAGCTGTATTTCTCGCATAATTTAACTGTCCTATGGGGTTGCTTGTTTTCAAAAGAAAGAGCTTTTGGGGCCGGGGAGATGGCTCAGTGGAATAAGCGCTTCCCTGGCAAGCGCAAGGGCCTGAGTTCAATCCTTGGTTCTGCCAGAAAAATAAAAATAAATAGAGTTTATTTCTATCCCTCTTAATAAAAAAAAAAAAAAAAAAAAAAAGAGCTTTTGCTTTACTGTTGGCCTCCCCAGCACAGCAGGTTTGGCTTTATTTTTTTGGTACTGGGAATCGAACTCAGAATCTTGGTCTTGCCAGGCAGGCACTATGCCGCTCTCTCCCCAGCCCCATAGCAGTCTTATTACTTGCTCTTGCATAACATTGTATTAACAGTGGGTTTCCTTGCCCCTCTGCTTCTTCCATGTTCTCTACCAGTCAGACGCAGTCTTCTGCACCTTGGATGGGACCGAATTACGGAGTACAGCCGCCTCAGGGCCAGAATGGCAGCATGCTGCCTAACCAGCCTGCGGGGTACCGAGTGGCAGGGTATGAAACCCAGTGAGCAAGGACTACAGACTCTAAAGCCAGTGGCTTGAGGCTACAAGGAGTGTAGTGAAGCCGATGTTTACTTAAAGATTTATCAAATCAGTCAGTGCAAATATCAGATACAATGTATTTATTTAAAAGATTCATTTTTTAATCATGAAATTACTTATCATCCACATTGTTTTAAAAAGAAACAAGATGCTGGATGTCTGCCAATTTTTGCCTTCATTACCTGTTTTGATAAAGTTTCTCAGATCCTTGTTTCAAATACAAATGCAGGGATTGCTGCCACTTTTTTAAAAGTAAGAGGCAGAAAATTGCACAATGTTGAACTTTTTTCCACTAAAGTAGTATGCAGTTCTAGTTTGCATTCCTGATATGATTTAAAACATGTAATATAAAGATGTAAAAAAAAAAAAAGAAGAAAAACCAAAACTGTGCAAAGTCTAGAAGTTCTTTGTAATCTTCAGCTTCTGCACAATTCTGTTTTAGGTTTTAAAAAGTGCATTGTTTGAAAAGTCCCATCTCCATTGTTATCTGTTTAGGGTTTTTAAATATAAATTATTAGTTTACATCATTTTTGTATTTACATTTTTCAGAAATTTGTCTTGCCTCATTGAAGTTCTGTAAAATACACTTACATGAAAAAAATGATGTTCACTTAGATTGAAAACTTTTCTCAGATGGATTGATAATTGCGTTCATTTTGTGTTTTATATGAGAAGGTGCCTCAAGAATTCCGTGTTGGATTTGTTTAAAAGGATTTTTATCTTCTGTGATAAACTTTGCTGTATACCAGGAACTGTAAAAACAAACCTTGTTACTAAAGAAAATTTCTGAAATGTGATAAGTTCTTGCCATTTTACTTTCATGTGTCAACTTCTACATTTACATGTATTATTTCATTATGTAAAATGTTTTAGCAATTTAATTATTTGCACAGTTAGTGAATTTTGTATGTCATTTCCTTCTTAAAGGCATCATGGAGGCCTGACATGAAATTTCTAAGTTTTAAGTTGATCGCATGTGAATATCAAATACACACTTTGGTAGTTTTTGAGTATAAAGTCATCTGCTCTTGTTTTTCAAGAATTTCAAAACACAAAGTTGTATGTAGAGGAATATTAATTTTCCATTTTCTAGTTAGATTTACTTCAGAGGAGTAAATCAAGTGAATTTTAATGTGTACAAATAAGTGGTAGCTGTGAAATTGTAGACTATCCTTATGTCAGGCTTGGGGTTCATTGTAAACTCCAAAATTACCCTAACTGACCAGCCAGGCAAAGCGTTTTTTTAAATGTTCAGAGGCCAAAAGATAAACAAGAAAACCTTTAAAATCCTACCTCCGTAAAACAGCCTTCAAAGAAAAAAAAAATCCTCATTGCAATCATCATTTTGATTCTTGTGGTACCTGTTTTCTTGGAGTTTCCAATTTGGGAGAGGGCCTCCAAGTATTAAGAGTCTTACTCTTTGATGGCATTGTTCTAGCTTTCAGATGTCTAGTATATTTCAGAGTCTCTTAGAATAGTTATGGGAGACTTGGTTTGGTTTTATTTTCAGTGCAAGTCAGAAACCATCTTCTTCCTTGAGTTACAGAGGCAAAGGGTCTGTAGAGTATGTATTTGAGTGTTTGATGGTTTTTAAGACCTTTAGAGCGCTCCCAGCATTTTACTTAACAACAACTAAGGCTTGTGAAATCTTAAGAGCTTCCTGGCCTGTATCTTCCAAGTAGAAGCAAAGGACTCTAAGCTGGTCTCTAAGCCAATACCTTTGAAACCAGAGCCCAAAAAAGCCAGCTTTAAGTGTATCATTTTCTGGAACTCAGTTCTATGCAGTTGTACTGATGTTTCATTAAGTCACTGTGTATTTTTATGTGTTGGTACAGTCAAAGTTGCTTTATGGAAGATGAGTAAAATTTTGGAATATGTGGAAATTTTTATTTCCTTATTAAACAAATCAGGGCATGCAACCAAGAGCAGCTTAAATGAAATACTCAAAAATAAATAAAAATCAGGAAGCTATTTTTAGGTTCTTCTGACTTATGTTTCTATTTTAGGACCCTCATTTTTCTCTTACTAAAAAAAAGTTTTTATTTACTATGTATCTCATAGACTGTGGGGTGAGTTGTTGAGGAAATTAATCTGAATAGAAGTACAGTTTTCTCTTCATTTTCACTATCTCAAGTAATAACAGTTTTTATTAGCCAGTATATTTTTTTACTTTGTAAATCTTAAACTGTACATTGACTACTTTTTGAGAAGTGGTACCAGTATTCATGATGAAAAGGTTACTACTGAATAGTTGCACATTTCGGAAACATTGCTAACTTTGATTTAAATCTTCGTATTAAGTCATTTAGAGACTTTTTTTAGCCCCAAAAATTTTACTGGTATTAGTATCAGGTAAGGAGTTTAAAATTCTTAAAGTAATTTCATTCTTTGCAATATGCATTCAGATTCTACTTTTTGGTACTGTAAAGAACCTGAAGTGATTCACTCTTAATGGGTCATTAATCCAGAATTCTTTACCCTGTTTGGATATTAAAGTTCCTTTATGTTTTCTATAACCTGTGGGATCTTCTTGCAGTGATTATTGTGTGAGAGAATTTTGTTCATTTTGGTATAGCCATATTGTTATTTATATACTTTAAATCTTATTCTGAAAATTGTAATTTGCATTGAGTTACTGCTTAATACCAAAAAAATTTGCATTCTTCACACTTAGTTATGGAACTAGTCTCATTTTCCTTATTAATATCATCTGTTTATTGAAAATGAGATTCCTATTTTAGTTTTTATTCTCCTGTTTATTCCTGTGTTTGCTCATCTTCCTTCTGTATGTGCATTATACTTCTGTTCCACTTTATAAAGCGGTTGAAAAGGATGAGAAATGGAAAAGGATGAGAATGCATTTAGAAAGTAGTTAAGAATTACTCAGTACTGTAAGGTACTCCTGAGGTTATAGTTGAATTAGAAAAGCAAAATGTGTTTATAAGAACTTTAAAAGCAAACTTTTTAAATGAAGAGAGTGATGATTTCTAGAAGCAAATACAGTGGTGCCTTGGTTCACAACTTTAATTCTTTCTGCAGTTCTCAGAACAGAATTTGTTCCACAATTCTGGTTGTACCGTTTGCAAGCATATCCACTGTATTCCTTCGTGAAGGGCAGTGTTCTTACTGCATTTTATTCCAATCCCTGTTGTATTTAGAGTTTGAAGAATATAGCTCTAAAACTGTGAATTTTAATTTAAGAGCCTTAATTAAAATGAGTGTGTCACCTGGCATGGTGGTGCACACCTGTAATCCCAGCACTCAGGAGGCTCAGGCAGGAGGATCGTCACAAGTTGGAGGCCAGCCTAAACTACAAATCAAGACCCTGTCTCAAAAAAAAAAAAAAAAAAGGAGTATGTCTCAATTGAATCCACCCCCTTTTGAAACTTCATTTATGTGAGAGGTTAATCAAACATGAAACCTACAAGTATTTTTATAGTAGAATACCTTCAGCATCCCCATCATTACAGATTTCTGCTCTACTTGGTTGTCTGCGGCACTGAGATTTTTGCCAAAATTAAGCAATGTTTATGACCTCTAAAGTTGGCAGTTGAAGTTACTCTTACAGTAATCCAACTATAAAAGGAAGCAGTAGACTACTAAGGTAGTCTAGAAAATACAGACAGAATGTGTTTACTACATAAATGAGTTTGCTGGCTCATTTTGTTCAGCTCTAAAATACCAACAGCGGGATGTATACCCCACAAACAAAATGTTGGAGAAACTTTCTGTAGGAAAACTGAATGATTCCCGAGAGAGAAGATGGGTCTTCGCAAAAAAAAAAAAAAAAAAAGTTTGGCCACATCTGACTGTCCCTGTAATGTCAGTCCTTGAAAGACTGAAGTGGTGAGGCTGAGGGGGATGGCCAGGAGTTCAAGGCCAGCCTGAGCTACACACTGAGTCGAAGACAGCCTGAACTACATAGACCCTGTTTCAAATAAACCACAACTGGCTACCAATTGCCCTATACTTAAAGTGTGTCAGTAAGCTCTACCCGAGTATACAAGTCTTCCCAACACATTTATAGTGCTTTTAAAGAGACAACAAAATACCACTCGGAAACAGGAAAAATGATTTTTAGCTCTATACAAAAAGCAGCTCTCAAAAATCAGGACATTTCAAAGGACTATAATAACCTCAGATAACTATTCTAGAAATTAGAGCTGGATAGTAATAAAACAATAGAAAATGGGTAAGTCAGTGATAAAAGACAAGGAAATATCTTAGAAGTGAAAAGAAGAATAAAGTTAGATTGATTCAGGAAACTTAATACACAACAATCCAGATTCTCAGAAGAGAATTTTGTTTGTGGTACTAGGGCTTGAACTCAGGGCCTTCACACTGAGCAATAATCTCCGGACTTCTTTAAAAAAATTTTTGCTTGGAGACAGGACTCTCTGAGGTGCTAAATTGCCTGGCCTTGAACTTTTGATCCTCTCTGGCCATGGGCTCACAGAGTGCTAGCATTACAGGTGTGTAGTAATCGTGCGTAGCCAGGAGAACTTGAGAAAATGAGGGTGTGGGTGGAACTTATTTAAAAATAAAATGTACCTGGTAAAGAATTTCAAGATAATTAAAAGGTTATTATTGACTTATGACAGTGAAGAATCATATCACCATGAAATTTTACAATGCCAGAAACAGATGCTTCTAAAAATTGCCAAATGTCAAAAGGACAGATAATACTAGCTTTAGCTTCTCATCAGCAGTGTTGACAATTAGGAATCTGTGGGGTGCTGCCTTCAAAGGTTTGTATGAATTATATCCAATTAATTATACTGTCATAGGAGACAACGGAATAAAGCTCTTGAATATATGCGAGTTCTCTGATCTTTTCATGTATTGATTTTTAGAAAGTGACTGGACACACTCGTTACATTGGCAACACAGCTGCAGTTCCAGCCATGTGAGCAGAGGTAGGAATACGAGTTTGAGGCCAACTTGGGCCATTCAGTGGGAGTCTGCCTCATACAGAACAAAGAACAGCAGTCAGCCAGGCAGAGGGGATAAAGGGAAGTCTTGGATCTATGTCTGTGAAACCGCTAGGTTTCCAGCCTAGAGTGACAACCACAGGGCTTGCAGAGTTGGAAAATGGACCACATTTTAGCATAGCACAGAGGAGATAAGACTTTAACATGTATGTGCTAAAACATAATAATGGAAACACTGGCCAGCCATGGTGGTGCATGCTTGTACTCCCAGCATGCGGGAGGCTGAGGCCAGAGGATTGTTGCAAGTTGGAGATCATCCCAGGCTACAAAGTGAGCCCAACCAAGGCCGCCCTGAATTGCATAGCGAGACCCTGTCTCAAAAAGAAAAAAAAACGGGGAGATGGCTCAATGGAATAAGCGCTTCCCTGGCAAGCGCAAGGGTCTGAGTTCAATCCCCGGTTCTGGGAAAAAAAAAGAAAGAAAGAAAAAAAAATAGAAATACAAATAGGATTCACTTTTTTAAAAGTTGAGATGAGTTCTGGTGCCAAAAGGGCCTGCATTAGCTCACACATAATGGAGAATTCTCATCATAATAAAAAGCTAGTATTGGGACCGGGGAGATAGCTCAGTAGAATAAGTGCCTGCCTGGCAAGCACAAGGTCCTGAGTTCAATCCCTGGTACCGCCAAAAAAAAAAAAAAAAAAGCTAGTATTTAATGTAGTAAAGCATGATGGCACAGACCTGTAGTCCCTGCCTGTGGGAGGCCGAGGCAGGAAGATCATTGAGAATTAAAAGGCCAGCCTGAACTACATAGTGAGACCCTGACTCCAACTCCTCAAAAAATAAAACTGAGTGCCTGAGTTGTGTGAGAAATGCATACTGGAAATGCGGTATCTACACGGGAGGAGAAAGGCTCTGCCTTAATTTCCTCTTAAAGTAGAAATGGTATTACTTATTCCAGCAGAGGATGGAGATAGCACGCATAGAGCAAACTGCCCGACAGAGCCAACACTCAAAATGCTGCCTGTACATTTAGGGAGGACCTCTTCAAGAGCAGTATTTATGAATTATGTGTTTGCTTTTAAGTAAGTCACCATCTTCCACTTAGGTAGCAGTGGCACATGACTGTAACCCCTGTACTTGGGAGGCTGAAGCAGGAAGATTGAAACTTAAAGGCTAGGGGGCCCAGCCCTAGCTCAGTTCTTTAAGTGGCTGCTTCCACAATGCTGGCAGCCTCGGGTTGCTGTAGTTCGATCCCCACAACACTCCAGCCATGCCAAAGTGCCCTGAAGGCATTCAAGGAGCAAAAA